CTGTGACGCGTGACTTTTTCGTCAGCCTGTATATATATATATATATATATATATATATATATATATATATATATACGTATAAGTTTGGTTAAACATCAACGGAATTTCTTTAAGATTTTTTTATTATAGTTCTGATTTCTTTGGTTTCAATGTTCGAAAAACTTTCGTCTTTGAGTAACTATTACGAAAGATTTTTTTTTTTTTTGTTTCATCGTTTTTTTCTAAATATTGCCTGGTCATGTTTTTCTAAAAGTATCACGTCTTCACGTGTCAGTTCGCGTTGTCATGTTTTTCCTTTTTTTAAATATTTATTCAAATATAATTATTATGTTTATTCTTGATTTGATAACATTTTATTGACAATGGGTTGTCTAATTCTATGCTTAATGTTTTCTTTTTTTTTTACAATTTATGTGATATATTTTTTGTGCTATCTTTTAAAATCAAAGACACCTTTATTTTTAATCATTTCACCTAAAGCAAGGCGATAATGCCACTAAGACGCAAGGGTTACTTGGAGTGGAAGAGAATAAGAAGACTTTAGTGAGGCGGTAGGACAATAAAAGGACTGTTTACATATAATTTTTCGAATAGGCTATTTTGCCGGCTTCGTAAAATAAACACCAACGCTATTTTACCGGTAAATATAAATAGCGTTTTAGAACTAAGAATATGTAGTATTTGATATTGTCAACATAGTGGTTGTGTGAGCTGTGTAGGCAGGACTTGAACAATATTGATTCTGGGATCTGTGACTGTTGTCTTCAGTGGGTGTACCTGAAGTGTATTAGCAAGAGAACCATGCCAAAGTCAAGTTCTGGGTTTGCAGAGACTTTTATGCCTGAAGCGCTTAAAATATTCAGAGAATTCTAAATTTCTTTTAATAACTGATAACGAATAAATATGTTTTAGCAATGGATGCTGGAAAATATTTGAAATTGTTTTCACAATTGATGGGGAAAATAAATAAACTTCTGGGTTGAATCTGTGTGTTGTTATTTTAAATATTACCCGCCTTCATAAGAATAGAAATATTTACCGGTAAAATAGTCTGGTGGTCTTTTTTTACCGTGACCGGTTAAATAAGTTTAAAGGCATGTTTTCCTGTTTTACCGGGGCCGGTAAAATAGCCTTTTCTTTAATTTATTGAAGATTAATGATGCAAGAAAATGAAAAAGAATTCCAAGGTGAGTAGCGAAAAATGAATCTATTAGAATAGAATTTATAGCAGACTAGTTTAACAGTGGCCGAGCGGTTAGAACGTTTGTTTTCTGATCATGAGACCCGGGTTCGAATCTCAACATGGTCAATTTGTTAGGAAGGCGACTTCCTGATGTTATCAGGTTGATTCACACCTTGTGAGTGAAGGTGGGTAGACGGAACCCTCGATAGCTGTGCTAGCACGAAGCCACAAGTCATCGTGGCCGAGGACTTGAGCGTGTTGATCACGCTCTTTCCCAGAACATGTAACTAACGTCTGCTCAGCATAGTTGCTGTATAAACCACAAGTGGGCTCTGTGGATGTTGAATAAGCACAAATGCTCCTGAGAAAGCGTCTGCAATAGGGATTGGCTATCCGCCATAATAGACCTGTATTCTCGATTACGAGTGGCCAGCTATACAGTTCAACAGTAAATCTTGTTGCCAATCTAGTCGTACATTTAAATTCCTGCGGTCGAAGTACCAAGGAGGGTAACTTATTTGAATAATTCTTTTGTAGATAATTTATTAGCGATTATTAAAACCTGGTAAATAAGGTTCGGATTTTATTGATTTCGTCATTATATTTTCTCTTGATATTAATAACGCTGGTGAATCACAAAGATGGCAGCTGGTTTATACGATAAGTTACCCAAAAGTTTAGGGAACAAGAGACACGAAATGGCTTCTTCTACCTGGGTATGTGTCTGGTTTCTCGTTAAAGATTTTCCGTTTTTTATTCATCACTTATTTTTCTCTTTTTTTATGTGCTTACATTATAATGTTGGTTATATCACCTTAATCTGACACGGCTAGATTCTTTTCTTGCATTTCTTGCTTGTTGACCTCCATTTTGGCGCCATGCTTTCCAGCAAACTTTGATCTTCAAAAATTTAAACGCAATGGAAATTAATAAGAAATAAAAAGCTTTTTGTCTTATATTTTTCTTGCTACTGCCATAGTTATTTTTTTCTAATCTGATAAGTAGTTTGTTTGTGAGTCAAAATATCGGTGATTCTTGAAAAATATCATTTATCCATTCAAATGTTGTTTCCCTATTTCATTACTATTTTAGGAAATTGCTGTAAACGTAGGCAAGTTAGTGTTTCTTTCTCACCTTTTTGTTTTAATTGCTTGACATTAGGCTGTATACAAATAAGACAGAGCCAAGTCCATAGTGCAGTCGTTAGCTTTTTGAATTTGGCACAAAGTTTGTGCAATATAATATGGTCCGGTGCCACTGATGTTTACCTTGAGCTCCTTGAGAAAATCCAAAAATCTGCAATATTTTTGGTCCTGATCTGGCGGCTCGACTTCAGTCACTTTCCCACCGCTATAAGGTTGCAAATCTGCGTCTTTGACATGGTACCTACGCTTTTTGAATTTAAGCGCTGTAATAGATTGGAGTTGAGATTCCATCAATTTACAGGTGAACTGGTTAGATGTAGCCGTAAATTCTAGGCTAACCGTTTCTTTTCTAGCACTTCTTGCTTGAGGAAAAGCCTTCCGGCTCCATTCTTTCCAACCAAAGTTAATTTGCATAAATATAGGGTGACCCAAAAAAACGGGAACTTTTTAACAATCCAATAAAACCAAGAGTGATGGAAGAAAAATATTTTATTCGTAGTAAGTGAAACCTTAAAACATGCCATTTAAGAAACAATGATGGAATTTTCATTTTTTTAAAAATTACGCCCTGTAGATGGCGCCCTCCTGTACGAATGCATTCTTGAAATCTGCTGTTGAGATTCCTCATTGTCTATTGCAACATCTCAGCTGGGATACTGTGAATTTCATCTTGAATTCTAAATGGCGAAATGTTTACTTGCTCGAGGTCACTGTCTCGCAGTGTTGCCACTTGTTCATGTCTGGCAATACGAACTTCAAAAATTCCCATTTTTTGGGGTCACCCTGTATAAACGCTATGTCAATCGCTATCTACTGATCTCCTGATTACTCTTTCCTTCTTCCGCTCATTATTAATGTTTCTGTTCTTAATTCTTCCACAACCAGTAACCCCTTGTGTCTTAGTGGCTTTATTGCCTTGCATGGAGCCATACCGATTAAAAACAATAATAATATAGAATGTATGCATGGCCGGATTATCCAATAGGCTAGTATATGTGAAATTTGGTTTGCAATAAATAGCAAAATAGTGATATTTCTTAAAAATTATTTTTTATTGGCAAACAAATGCGAGCTGTTCCAGTTTATTTAAAGAATTTGCAATAAGTTCACTTCAAAACTATGTAAATGTCGCTAAAATATATCACGAGTAAAAAATATTCAAGACGGGTGCAGGGGGGTAGTTAGAGGGTAGCTCCGTTCAACGGGAGGGTACATAATTTCATTAACCAAGCGAGGTGGGGGTCAAAAGGTCATAATCTGTCCTGGGGTGTATGGGTGATAGACAAGAAATCGACTTCGTGCTGAAACGCTCTCTTATACTGGGTTAAGACCAAAAATGATTTCAACCACAAAATTAGAAAATGTAAATCGCTTAAAAACTGAACCAAACTGAGCAGCATCAGAAGTGACACAATGCTGCCAAAGATACGATGGGGGAATTTATTACATTAAAAACAAGGGTCACAATGCATTTCGACTCGTGTCGCATTTGCATGAACCTGCTAGTGCATATATGCACCCAAAGCCTAAATAAAGTGGTGAGAGAGAGAGAGAAAGAGAGAGAGAGAGAGAGAGAGAGAGAGAGAGAAAGAGAAAGAGAGAGAGTGGGAGAGAGAGATATGCATGGGCAAACTGAACTGAACTGAAAAGAGAAATATAAAACAAAAGAGAAAAGAGAAATGCCTATTTTATTTCAGGCAAATAACTAAAGCTTAGTGTGCTTTGACTATTCATATATGCATCTAAAGCCTAGATAAAGTGGTGGGGAGATAGATAGATAGATAGATAGATAGATAGATAGATAGATAGATAGATAGATAGATAGATAGAGAGAGAGAGAGAGAGAGAGAGAGAGATGCACGGGCAAACTGAAATGAACTGAAAAGAGAAATATAAAACAAAAGAGAAAAGCGAAATGCCTATTTTATTTCAGGCAAATAACTAAAACTAAGTATGGTTTGACTATTCATATATGCACCTAAAGCCCAGATAAAGTGGTGGGAGAGATAGATAGATAGATAGATAGATAGATAGATAGATAGAAACCCAGACCCAGCACCTGACCCAGCACTAGGGATGGTTTCGCCGAACACTACAAGTTGCTGCAAAACATTAACCTAAAAAATGTTCTTAAATAGCCTCGACAGATAAAAGATTTCATATGGATTAGGATTTGGGGACGTTCATCAGCAGCAACAACTAAAATGGATAGGACATGCAACTCACAGAGAAAATAAAGACATATTTAAATGTTGAAGTTACACACAATTTCAAGCAAATGGTTAGGAAGAACCCCCCCCTCGTCAATACAAACGCAATAATAATTAGTGAACTTGAAAAATCTATTTTCCAGAAAAGTTGTTTTAACAGAAAGATTTCATAAATTTCAATCGGAAGTTGCACTGGCTAGTGAATCAATGAATGTCAAATGTTTCCTTATAAGGAAATGGGTAACATTCCCACTAGAGCCGAAGAGAACAGATATTACACTTTGATGGACTGGGAGTGAAGAAAATCATAACAATTAACTCATTATTGACGGTGGGGAGAAGAGGTGGATTTCCCAAGGGTATTTTCATGTAAGTGAATATAACGAACCTAACCGGAATTGGAACTCGGTTCTCCGATTAACAATTCCGAACCAATATTCATTACACCACCCGCACGTCAAGGATTACAGCTCCTGGCATCCCCAAGCGGTCACCCATCTAGGTACTGAACAGACTCGACATTGCTTAACTTCTATGATCGTATGCGAATCGGTGTTTCAATGTGTTGTGGCCGTAAGCAAGATTCTGTCTAGCACGGTACAATGAACCGAGTTTCTTAACAGCAGAGATAGCATTTTTATTTTTGTTATACAGCAAACAGCCTATACCGCAGTTCAACGATGCAGTGTTAATTCCAGTCTCCCATTAGAGCTCGAAGCGTTTTACGATCTTCAGCCTCTTTTGCTTTATTTGATTGTTGTTCTTACTCAGAAGTTCACAGAATCTCTTCACAAACAGACAGTGTTTAATATCAGAGCATTATCATTCTAGGCAACTTAAAATCTTAGATTTGCCACTGGTCGGTGTCTGAAACAAGGTTTATGTCTGTGACGTCGACTTTTACTGTTAAAGAAAACTGAGGCTAGGGGAGTGGTTGCAAGAAAATACTAAAGGTCAGGCTCTTTGGTGTTTGCCCGTATCTACTCTGAGGTTTGGGACCAAACACAAAGAATGGTAAAAATGGCTTTTACTTGCTGAATCAAAGACTGATTTCTCGGGTGAGAAATTTATTTCTGGTTGATTTGAAGAAAGAGATTCAACCAGAAACTAGATTTCATTTCTCTTGGGATTTACGGTTGAATATGGATCTAAATCTTTTATTCTTTCATATTTCAACTTTCTTTCTTTCTTTCTTTCTTTCTTTCTTTCTTTCTTTCTTTCTTTCTTTCTTTTATATTATTTTCTATTTTGCTTATAATTGCAATAGTATTCTTGGCCACTAGTTTCTTTCTTTATTGTTTTTTTTTTATTTCTTATCACTTTTCTTGGTATCTGGAATTTCTTTCTTTTTTCTTTCTTTCTTTCTTTCTTTCTTTCTTTCTTTCTTTCTTTCTTTCTTTCTTTCTTTTATGATATTTTCTTTTATCCTTATCATTGAAATAATATTCTTGTCCGCTAGAGTATCTTTCTTTATTGTTTCTTTCCTTATCACTTTTCTTTCTTTCTTTCTTTCTTTCTTTCTTTCTTTCTTTCTTTCTTTCTTTCTTTCTTTTACGCCATTTTCTTTTTTCCTTATCATTAACATAGCGTTATTGGGTTCTAGACTCACCACATTGAAACACTGGGTTCCCGTACAATCACCAAAGTTAAGCAACGACGAGCCTGGCCAATACCCCGATAGGTGACTATTTGGGAATACTAGGCGCTGTAAGCTTGGATGTGCGGGTGGTGTAATGGATTTTATAATCGGAGGACCGAGTTACAATCCCCATTCGGTTCGTTATATTCACTTATGAGCAAATATCCCTGGGAAAATTATGAATCCACTTCTTCTCCCCCTAGTTATGGGTTAATTAGTAAGACTTTTATCGCTAAACAATTATTATCTAAAAAAAGATTCTTGTAACCTAAAAATATTTTCTGTATTTAAATAATTTGCAAAGGATTGATGGGCCGTAGAAAACGAAGTAATCAATGTTGGCCTCTGAAGTTTCTTTCTTTTATCCTCTTCGCTTTTTCCATATTACTTTTCTTAGTCTTTGGCTTTTCTTTCTTTCTTTCTTCCTTTCTTTCTTTCTTTCTTTCTCTATTTATTTACTTCTATTCGCTTTTTCCTCTTTCTTAGCCTCTGGCTTTTCATTCTTTCTTTCTTTCTTTCTTTCTTTCTTTATGTATTTATTTATTTACTTACTTACTTCTGTTCGCTTTTTCCTTTTTCTTAGCCTCTGGCTTTTCTTTCTTTCTTTCTTTCTTTCTTTCTTTCTTTCTTTCTTTCTTTCCTTTTATTCGCTTTTTCCTCTTTCTTAGCCTCTGGCTTTTCTTTCTTTCTTTCTTTCTTTCTTTCTTTCTTTCTTTCTTTCTTTCTTTCTTTTGTCCTGCTTGCTTTTTCCTTATCACTTTTCTTAGTCTCTGGTATTTCTTTCTTTCTTTCTTTCTTTCTTTCTTTCTTTCTTTCTTTCTTTCTTTCTTTCTTTCTTTACTTACTTCTGTTCGTTTTTTCCTTTTTCTTAGCCTCTGGCTTTTCTTTCTTTCTTTCTTTCTTTCTTTCTTTCTTTCTTTATTTATTTACTTACTTCTGTTCGTTTTTTCCTTTTTCTTAGCCTCTGGCTTTTCTTTCTTTCTTTCTTTCTTTATTTATTTATTTACTTTTATTCGCTTTTTCCTCTTTCTTAGCCTCTGGCTTTTCTTTCTTTCTTTCTTTCTTTCTTTTGTCCTGCTTGCTTTTTCCTTATCACTTTTCTTAGTCTCTGGTATTTCTTTCTTTCTTTATTTATTTATTTATTTATTTATTTACTTACTTCTGTGCGTTTTTTCCTTTTTCTTAGCCTCTGGCTTTTCTTTCTTTCTTTCTTTTTTTCTTTCTTTATTTATTTATTTACTTTTATTCGCTTTTTCCTCTTTCTTAGCCTCTGGCTTTTCTTTCTTTCTTTCTTTCTTTCTTTCTTTCTTTCTTTCTTTTGTCCTGCTTGCTTTTTCCTTATCACTTTTCTTAGTCTCTGGTATTTCTTTCTTTCTTTCTTTCTTTCTTTCTTTCTTTCTTTTTTTCTTTCTTTCTTTCTTTCTTTCTTTCTTTACTTACTTCTGTTCGTTTTTTCCTTTTTCTTAGCCTCTGGCTTTTCTTTCTTTCTTTCTTTCTTTCTTTCTTTATTTATTTATTTACTTTTATTCGCTTTTTCCTCTTTCTTAGCCTCTAGCTTTTCTTTCTTTCTTTCTTTCTTTCTTTCTTTCTTTCTTTCTTTCTTTCTTTTGTCCTGCTTGCTTTTTCCTTATCACTTTTCTTAGTCTCTGGTATTTCTTTCTTTCTTTCTTTCTTTCTTTCTTTCTTTCTTTCTTTACTTACTTCTGTTCGTTTTTTCCTTTTTCTTAGCCTCTGGCTTTTCTTTCTTTCTTTCTTTCTTTCTTTCTTTCTTTCTTTATTTATTTATTTATTTACTTTTATTCGCTTTTTCCTCTTTCTTAGCCTCTGGCTTTTCTTTCTTTCTTTCTTTCTTTCTTTCTTTTGTCCTGCTTGCTTTTTCCTTATCACTTTTCTTAGTCTCTGGTATTTCTTTCTTTCTTTCTTTCTTTCTTTCGTTCTTTCTTTCTTTCTTTCTTTCTTTCTTTCTTTACTTACTTCTGTTCGTTTTTCCTTTTTCTTAGCCTCTGGCTTTCTTTCTTTTCTTTCTTTCTTTTCTTTCTTTTGTCCTGTCTTGCTTTTTTCCTTATCACTTTTCTTAGTCTCTGGTATTTCTTTCTTTCTTTCTTTCTTTCTTTCGTTCTTTCTTTCTTTCGTTCTTTCTTTCTTTATTTATTTATTTATTTATTTATTTATTTACTTACTTCTGTTCGTTTTTTCCTTTTTCTTAGCCTCTGGCTTTTCTTTCTTTCGTTCTTTCTTTCTTTCTTTCATGCTATTTTCTGTTTTCCTTATCATTGCCCTAGTATTCTTGGCTCCTAGATTTTCTTCATTGTTTTTTCTTTTCCTTATCAATTTTCTTGGCCTCTGGGATTTTTCTCTTTCTTTCTTTTTATTATATCGTTTCATTTTGTTCTCTTCCAACCAGCTATTTTCCATAATCTCTTCTTTTCTTTTTTTCCTTTTCTTATCGCCTAAGACACGAAAATAGTCCACATAAAAGCAAAGAAGCAATAATTGAAAATTAAAATGGCGTGATTAGCAAAGCGTGCCGGAAATGGATGGGAAGAGACCGGAAGCAAAGAAAGAGCTCTAGAAGTGTCAGTGTGCAATGCCTGTGTTTGATGCTAACATGGCGGCTTTGTTAAAAGAACTGAAGCGCATGCCTGAATATTTGGGCGACTATTCTACTGGAATCTGGGATTGACCTCAACAGGAAAAATGCCCAAGAGGCCTTTTTGTCGCAAAATCGATGCGTTTAAATTAGGAATGTTTAGGAGAAATGGAGGCTTTGATAGAATAATCCACCGGGAAAAAAAAGGATCTAAAATAATAATAAAACATGCAGTAGAGATAAACAACAATAAGAAGAACAACAAATGTAAAATATAGAAAGGAGATAGAATCGAGGAAAGAAGAAGAAAGATAACAGGAAAACGAAAGAAAACAGGGACATATAAATGAAACGAAAGAAAAAAGAAATGAGAAAGAAAGGGCATAGAAAAGAAAGAAATAAAGAAAGCAGAGACAGTTAAAAAATAAGAGAAAGAACGAATCTACATATAAAAGAAAGAAAGAAAGAAAGCACGGAAATATAAATGAAACGAAAGAAGAAAAAAAGACATAAAAGAAAGAAAGAAAAAAAGAAAGGAAAAGGACATATAAATGTAAGAAATAAAGAAGGAAGGGATATTCATAAAATAAAAGAAGGAATCTACATAGAAAAGAAAGAAAGAAAGAATGAATGAAAGAATGACAGAGAAATGAAAGATAGGGACATGAAGAAACAAAAGAAAGAAAGAAAGAAAGAAAAGGGGACATGTTAAAGAAAGAAAGAGGGGACAGAGAAAAGGATGAAAAAAAAGGGATATATAAAAGAAGAAAGGTCATATAAAAGAGAGAAAGGAAGAAAGAAAGAAAGAAAAAAAGGGACATGTTAAAAGAAAGAAAGGGGACAGAGAAAAGGATGAAAAAGGGATATATAAAAGAAAGAAAAGGTCATATAAAAGAGAAAAGGAAGAAAGAAAGAAAGAAAGAAAGAAAGAAAAGGGGACATGTTAAAGAAAGAAAGAGGGGACAGAGAAAAGGATGAAAAAAGGGATATATAAAAGAAAGAAAGGTCATATAAAAGAGAGAAAGGAAGAAAGAAAAAGAAAGGAAAGGGGACATGTTAAAAGAAAGAAAGAAAGGGGACAGAGAAAAGGATGAAAAAAAGGATATATAAAAGAAAGAAAGGTCATATAAAAAGAAAAAAGAAAGAAAAGAAAGAAAGAAAGAGGGACAGAAAAGGATAAAAAGAATATATAAAAGAAAGAAAGAAAAAAAAGAAAGGAAGAAAAAAAAAAGAAAAGGGGACATGTTAAAAGAAAGAAAGAGGGGACAGAGAAAAGGATGAAAAAAGGGATATATAAAAGAAAGAAAGGTCATATAAAAGAGAAAAGAAAGAAAGAAAGAAAGAAAAGGGACATGTTAAAGAAAGAAAGAGGGACAGAGAAAAGGATGAAAAAAGGGATATATAAAAAGAAAGAAAGGTCATATAAAAGAGAGAAAGGAAGAAAGAAAAAAGAAAGAAAGAAAGAAAAAAAAAGGACATGTTAAAAAAAAGAAAGGGGGACAGAGAAAAGGATGAAAAAAGGGATATATAAAAGAAAGAAAGGTCATATAAAAGAGAGAAAGGAAGAAAGAAAAGAAAAAAGAAAAAAAAAAAAAGGACATGTTAAAGAAAGAAAGAGGGGACAGAGAAAAGGATGAAAAAAAGGGATATATAAAAGAAAGAAAGGTCATATAAAAGAGAGAAAGGAAGAAAGAAAGAAAGAAAAGGGGACATGTTAAAGAAAGAAAGAGGGGACAGAGAAAAGGATGAAAAAAAGGGATATATAAAAGAAAGAAAGGTCATATAAAAGAGAGAAAGGAAGAAAGAAAGAAAGAAAGAAAGAAAGAAAGAAAAGGGGACATGTTAAAGAAAGAAAGAGGGGACAGAGAAAAGGATGAAAAAAAGGGATATATAAAAGAAAGAAAGGTCATATAAAAGAGAGAAAGGAAGAAAGAAAGAAAGAAAGAAAAGGGGACATGTTAAAAAAAAGAAAGAGGGACAGAGAAAAGGATGAAAAAAAAGGGATATATAAAAAAAAAGAAAGGTCATATAAAAAGAGAGAAAGGAAGAAAGAAAAAAAGAAAGAAAGAATGAAAGAAAGAATGACAGAGTAATGAAAGATAGGGACATGAAGAAACAAAAGAAAGAAAGGTCATATAAAAGAAAGAAAGAAAGAAAGAAAGAAAGAAAGAAAGAAAAGTGACATGTTAAAGAAAGAAAGAGAGGACAGAGAAAGGGAGGAAAAAAGGGATATATAAAAGAAAGAAAGAAAGAAAGAAAGGAAGGACAGAGAAAATAATAGTGGAAAGAAAAAAAAGATGAACGGAGGAAAAAATGTCATTCGGCTTAGGCACAATTTACAGTAAAAACAGTACATTTCATCGGATGACCGAAGACTAGCAACACCGAACCTGGCCTGTACTTAGATGGGTGATCGCTGAGGTTGCACCAGATGCACTAAAAAGCTGATAACTAACCAAAAGCCAAGTAATATGAAAGTGAGAGACAACAAAACGCGATAAAAATGAAAAAAAAAAGAAAGAAGAGAAACCAAAGAGAAAAGAGCAGAGGAAAAATTTCGACGAAATTCCTGTTTTGAAAAGAAAAATATTAAATCAAAACATATAAAAATCTAAGAAGAAAATAACAACAAATAAAATATGAAAAAGAACCTGAAACCCGCATATAGAACTTACTGTATTTGACGGCATATAAAATCGCACGGGTGTATAAGACGCACCCCAATTTCAGCAGGGAAAATCAAGAAAAAATTAGTAATTAGTAAAATTATTAGTAAATGCTACAGCCTAGGCTACAATTATGAGGTATTATTTTGGTTAAACAAGCCACGATTACAATTAAACGAAAAATCATAGGAAAAAAAGAAAACGAGCCCATAAAAACTTTATTATATCCAAAGGTAAAAAAACAAAATAAAAATCAAGCAATTATTACAATTGAGCAAACCAGTTACCATTAAAATTTTATTCATCTTCAAATCCGTAAAATTCGTCGTCTTCGTTATCAAAACGCTGATACTTATTTTCAATACTACTATCATCGTCATTAAATAATGGATCATCTATCTTCCGTTCCATTGAGAGCATTGCTAATGCCACATTTTGTAAAAGATTTCACTACAATTTCTGGTCTAATATTATCCCACGCTTGCTTCACCCATTCGCAGACTTGTGCAATGCTGGGCCTATTTATTCTTCCTGTAAGTGTAAGTGATCAGACATTGCCATCCACGTGTTCCATTGCTTCTTCATGTTTAAGTCTAAGCTAATAGCAGTTTCTAGCTAGCTAATTTCGGCCGACTATCGCGAATTTTAAACCTACATATGGCATATAAGACGCAAGGGAATTTTAAGATATTTTTTAGTAAAAAAAAGTGCGCCTTATATGTCGTTAACTACGGTACATAAAAACATTTCTCAAGTTCTTGGCTCTTGCAGATCATTGGGTCAGAGTCTCATCACTCTAGGCATTGCTACTGTGGTTACCATAGCAAGGTAGGAATGTAGTTGCGAGCCCCAAGCTAAAAATGCATTGAATTTAGAGTTGTTCTTCATCTAGATTTGTCTGCAACCAAGGCTGAAAAGCCTAATCTACCCTACTATTTAACCAACAGCAAGGCGGTGGGGTGGGGAGAAGTGATCGGTTCAAACATTTCCCAAAAAGGATTTGCCTGAAAGTGAATGCAGCGAACCCGACTGGAATTTGAACTTGGTCCTGCCGATTTCTCATACGGAGTCGCTAACCATTACGCCACCTTCAAATATTTCCCTATGTTTTATACGCTAGCATTATGGTTCCGGGAACAGTTTGCTGAAACTTAAATGAGTTTTGGTGAGCGATAGTCCGCTTGGAAATAGAGAAACGCAATGGAATAGCAAAATGTGCCTCTCAGAAACTAAGCAAAGTATTAAGACATAGAAAAATCTCTTTAGAAACAAAGGAAAGAGTTCAGAACCACTATGCCATATCTCTCCCTCTGATTGGCATTGGAATCAGAATGATTTCCTTGCAAATAAAGAAGAGTCTTGGAGTGAGACAGATGTTCTACGGAATACAATGAACTGAACACGTGAGAAATGGAGGTGATCTAAAGAAATTACGAACTCAAAGGACATACAATAAAACCAGGAAGATGCACTTAAGATTTTGGGAGCACATAATGCGGAAAGAGGGCTTGGAGAATTCGACACTCACAGGGTATTTAGAAAGCTGCAATGAAACGTTGAATAACCTGCCAAACGACTTTGTGTGAAGGAATTACACCGTGAGTTCAAGATTCAAAATTTGTTTAGAGTTACAAAGGAAAGGAAGTTGTGGAAAGCCATGATCGCATACGCTCTGAAGGGTCACGGCATATAAAGGAAGAAGAATGTTATTGAAATATGCCTGTAAACAATGCGTGTTATAGAACGCTAAATACTGAAGATAGATGCGTTATGGCTTAGGAGCCTATTATGACGCGATGGTTAAGAAAGTTGTCTTTCACACAAATTCACGAGTCTAGTGAGACTGAACCTCATTGGGGACATTTCTAATGTGACCTTGCACTAAAAGAAATTAAAGTGAAAAAAATGACCCAAAATAGAGACACATAAAACAAAAGAAAGAAAAACGCATTCTAAAAGAACGTAAGAAAGAAAGAAAGAAAGAAAGAAAGAAAGAAAGAAAGAAAAAAGAACGTAAGAAAGAAAG